TGGTGGGAAGAGCCGGAGAGGCCTGGGGCTGTTCAGCCTGGAAAGGAGACGACTGAGAGGGGATTTATTGTCGTAGAGAAATATCTGAGGGGTGAGGGTCAAGGGGAAGGGACCTACTCCCTTCATCATCCTCGTAGCTCTCCATTGGAGTCCAACGGAGAGCTACGAGGATGATGAAGGGACTTGAACATCTCTTCTCAGTGGTCTCCTGCTCTGGAGACTTTCCAACCCGCCTGGATGTGTTCCTGTGGGACTGCCCTGGGTGACCCTGCTCTGGCAGGGGGTGGCACTGGGGGATCTCCAGAGGTCCCTTCCAACCCCAACATTCTGTGATTCTGTCCTTTTCACAGAGAGGAGCCTCGATTTGGTGCCTATTAACGCAGTCCCATTAATTACCGTGTGTTAGCGCAGGCTGCCGCTAAATCTGACAGATACGGAGAGTCTCGCGATTCAGATTGTAACGAGTCAAACCACAGCTTCGAATACACAACACCGCAAAGGGCTACGCCAGAGCCCTGCAGGCTTCTATAAGCAAGTGGCAGAAAAAATAACGGTTCCTTGACACTTGGAAAGCTGGATGTCAAATCTGGGTCTGAAAAAGAATAAATCAGAAAAAGAATAAATCAGATTCTCCTCTAAGCGTGCCAAAACGTTCAAGCAGGTGCTTTTCTCCTGCTGCTCCAGGGTACGCATCTGGCACATTAAGAGAATTTTTGGAACGAACCATTATGTTTTATTCAAGCGCTCTCGCTGTGTACCTTTACTTGCACGCTCCCTTTTGAGCCACGTAGCACGGCTCTGCGCTTAAAGAGCCTTAAAAATGCAGGCTCGGCTAAACTGGGCTGCAAATGGTTTCTTTTGGCGCTCAGGGCAAAAAACCAAAAAAGCTGAAAAGAATAAAAGATCGAGCTTCAGTACAACCATGTTCTCAGTAAAGATTTCTCCTTGAGTCAGTAAGCACTTTGCCTAAATAAAGGTTTAAACTTCCAGCTAAATTCGTGGCTTTGAACAGCGGCGCGTTAAAAAATTATTCACGTTGGCCGCAAACACGCAGACTCATCAAAAACCAGCCGCCCCGTGATATAACTGGGGAAAAACAAAAAAAAATAAAATGGGAAGAACCACTAGGAATTTTTCCCAGTTTCAGCAATGCGCACGTATGAATTATTCAAACCGAAACTCCGTTTATGTAACACCCTCCCGAAAGCTACGTTGGTTGCAGCGACGCGAAATCGGTGGCGATGCTACAGCCGGGCTACCCCAGGGCAGCGGCGCGCTCGCTCCTTATGTAGGTCGCAAGAATTTAGGTGGCGCCGTTTAGATTTTACACGGAACTTTGGCCTCCAGCCCCGCTCCAGCAGCATTCCCAAGCCCATGAGGACAACGGAGGGGACCCAAAGCTCCCACAGCGGGAAGACGGCGGGTGAAGCCTTCGTTACGCCGACGATCCCCGTTGCCTTCAAAGCGAAGCAACGAGCGCAACGAGGGAAAGGCTCTTTTTAAAGCGATTCCCCCCAAGCACAGCTCTGTACCGACGACGTTTCCGACCGACACGCCCTTCTTCGCTGCCACGGAATAAAAACGTTATTTTTGCCCTGCTGCCCCGCGGGAAGATCTCCTCTGGGCGCAGAGGCGAAGAAATCGGTGCTTGTGACTCGCCGATCCGAACTGACAGATTGATGCCGCAAACACAAGCTTGCACTTTGCTCGGAGGCGCAACTCAGGAGCGAAGGGAAAAACCTGGTATGGCAGTAAACAATCAAAGTCTTCAAATCATGTCAGTAAAAAAAGAAATAAAGCCACAAACAAAACAAACACACCGGTCTGTTTTGCGGGTAGCTTGGAAGAGATGAGGAGAAACCAAGCGTGATGAAGTGAATTTGATATTTTAAGCACAGCGCAAACCCGACTGTAAAACCTTTTCCAACCTGGGCAGCTGTTCCTAAGAAAAGCAGAAGGAAACCACAGCTGATAAAGCACCCAACAGGAGAGCTTGTTCTCCTGGTTTATAAGAACAATAAGCAGCATTTCCAAGTTGGTTTTCTTTTTTCTTACAGGAGATACTTTAAACCCCTTACAAACACTTCAGAGAGCGCACCCACCTGCACAAAACCCAGCTTTCCTTCCAGCACTTCCCACATCAGAATTTTTCTAATATCCTCCGAGCTGGAACCAACAGACACAAGCCAGACACGAAGCATTTATTATCGTTATTAAGATGTGGTAATTTCAAATTCTTGTTTACAAGAGCCTCACGACGTTTTAACAAAAACCTTCGACCGCAAAAAAACAACCAGCACCTGGTGGGTGTCGGATCCCCCAGCGCGTTTCCCCAGCCCCAGGTGCTCAGGGCCGCAGGGGCTGCGCCGCCACATGGAGCATAAGCCCAGGCTTTGCTTTTACAACAGCTTAAACTTGGCCTTTGAGCCGCCTTAAGTAATTTTAATTGTACGATCGAATCGCAATTACAAACGCTTTCCTCAAGCCCTATTAGCGACCTGGGTTTCCGTCAGCTTTAGGAACAAGATTAAGCGTTTCCTACAGAACAAGCGTTTCTCAAACAAGCCCTTCAGTTAAACGTTCAGTTTTAGGAATCAAAAAAAAAAATTTAAAAATCAGTATTTGAATTTACTCAGGAGTATGTCACAGCTAGAAGGCGAGTCCAGGTATCCAAGAGAAACACATTCGAGCTCCATCTCGCCCCGACACGGAGCTGCCCACGGCAGCGAGCGACTCCTCCACCAACTGGTTTCCTCCATCACCAATTTCTTGCAGCAGCTTCTAGTTTTCAGAAACAGAAAAGCGCCCAGGCGAAGCGTTTATTTTAATCCGCTCAGGTAACGTTGGGGATTATACAGAGGCAAAGACAACAAGTCAGCTGGATTTTCTCACAGGGTGGTTTTGAATGCTGATCTGATTTCATGGGCAATTATTGAGCAGTAGTGTTCCAAAGAGCACTTAAAACTAAACTTCTGTCTCATGGAACTAAATATTCAAATGCACGAGCTTTTGGTTCTCCTTAGCACATCTGTTTTATTTGTTGTTTTTTTGTTGTTTTTCTCCTCCAAACCGACCAAACAACTCAGCTCCTCCAGAAAACCACCATCACATATCGGAAAGAGTCTGGCTTTGTTTCCAATTTCATATGCTATACCAAAAGAAAAAAAAAATAAGAGTTGTAAAAAAAAACCCCAAAACTAAAAACCAAAATGGTTGGGAAACATCCGGATATGGTGTGACCTGTATCTGCCACCACCACATTCCAAAAGTAAAGGCAAGTGAAACCGGGCAGGGAAAGTATTCAGATTAACGAGAGACTCGTACAACCGCGCAGTGCCACCCTAGCATCCATGAGGAGCTTTAAAAAAGCCCTCAAAATCTAAATTTAGATCCAACTTTCCCTCGTGTAAGCTACTAAAAGATGAACTCTTAAAATACCACTATCAGCAACTGCCCATGCAACGACTTAAATAAGCACTTAAGAGATAAAGGCACAGAAAATTCATCCCGAGCACAGAAAATTCACCCCAGCATAGGTAAGGAAGCGCTTCTCTTGGCCCCTGCCCTAAAATTAGCCACCCTAATCTCCAGGACCCAAACCACCCATGGATGCTCTGCCAGGAGCTGACCCTACGCTCCCCGGGGAGTTCACGCCGCGAGAATGAAGCCCCACAAAGGGCAGCAATGTCTCCCCCAGAGGAGCCCTTCATGGGGCAGTTCGTGACTCCGTGCGCCCGGCAGCAGCCGCGCTCCACGATTCCCAGCCGGCAACTCCCTCCGAGCTGGGAACCAACCGCTCTCCAACACTGCGTCTCCTCCTTAACAGGGTTTTTTTTCCCTTAAGAAGAGTCGCCTTGCGCACCATTCCCATCATTTTCCCCACGCAGCTGGGGAAAAAAAACCTCTTGCACTTTTAAGATTTATTTTTCTTTTCCCTCCTGCGCACCCAGGTCTAGCAACCTTCAGGAAAGGAAATAAGGCAGC